CAGTAGAATTTATGATGCGCAAGGTTTTTTATTTCGTTTGTCATCCAAGGACAGTGCTCACTTTTGACTTTCCGAATCCGAAGTGGAGCATGCATATTTGCAATATCAAGAAAAATAGTTTTCCATACCTCCCACGCATGATTTGGGTCGGCATAATTATAGAGGTTGTTGTGTCTTTGAAATGCCATTTTTACGTCGTATTGAAATGCAGATGAATTAAAGTATTTAAACTGCCTTGTTTCTACAATTTTTGGTTCAGCCCTAGGTATTCCTACTTTGCGGCAAATATACACTAAACTGTGATCACTCAGTCCTAAATGTATCACTCCAGAGTCTATAATTTTGGTATCGCTTGCTTTAGTCATTATTATGTCAATTAATGTTTTAGATGTTGTCGTTATTCTAGTCGGACTTGTAATGTGTTGCTTTAGCTGAAACTCATTTATCAGATCGGATAACCTTTTTGTATGATGAGTGGGACTGTTTGCCATCATATCGCAATTTAGGTCGCCAGTGATAATAATATCAATATTTGTATCATCTAGTTTTCCCAGTAACGTTTCGAAGTCGTTTAATATGCTAGTGTTAGAATTTGGTGGACGATACCATGTAACAATTAAGAGTGGTTTTGACTTAGGTTTTTGAATTTCAAGACAAATAGATTCTAAGTTGTCTGGAATGAATTCGATATGGTTTTTATAACTAATGATACTTCTTATATAAACTTATACATATGTTAAAACAACATACGGTCTGATACTCGTATTACAAAAGTAACATGTGGTGTTCCTCAGGGTCTATCCTAGGTCCATTACTGTTCTTAATATATATAAACGATCTACCTAATAGTGAATTGGTATCAGATGGCCATTTATTCGCTGATGATACCAATTTGACATTCGCGGACAGCGACCCAGACAAGTTAATCTCTGGGGCCGATTGTATAAAAAAGTGATTAAAGTTAACTATAGTTAGTGGAAACGTCATCCAATAAAAAGCGCGTATTTGAGAGTTAATCACTATTTAACTACAAAATAGTGATTAAAAAAGTGATTAAGAGTTTTATACAACGGCCCCTGGTTATTTCAGCAGCGAACGAAAAAGAGTTAACTACTTTTTAACTGCAGTTAGCGCTAACTACGTTTTTATACAACCGGCCCCTGTTCTATAAATGATGATATAACTTGAATAAACTAAGTCTGAATGCTATTAAAACTAAATGTATGTTTATTGCATCCAGACAAAAATTAAGTACTATCCCAGAAGAACCTAATGTCGCTATCTCCGGAAATAAAATCGAAAGAGTCAGGACTTACAGGGTAGGGGTAAAACGCGGAAACGGAACGGAACGGACCGCCGGAACCGGAAACGGAAAAAAGGGTAAAATGTGGAAAAGAGGGTAAAACGCGGAAAAAAGGGTAAAACGCGGAAAAAAGGGTAAAACGCGGAAGAGGGTAAAACGCGGAAAAAAGGGTAAAACGCGGAAAAAAAGGTAAAACGCGGAAGAGGGTAAAACGCGGAAAAAAGGGTAAAACGCGGAAAACAAACTTTGAAACCAAACTTTGATTTTGTTAACAATTTTTAACAAAATCAAATTTAATCTAATTAAATACCATAATAAAACAAAGTAAATGTACCTCATTATTGTATTGAGTTCTATTTTTGAGAAGTCGGCATGTGACAAAGTAAACTTTCTTTGGAGTACTTTTACTTGGAACGAAGTCGTTTAAAGAAGTAACGTTTTGCTTCGTTATTTTCATTATCTTGCGAAGTATTTTGTTACTTTCTAACTTTTGTTTAATTTTACGTGATGTATTCAGGATTTATTTTAATTTTGGGATAGGTAATAGGACCTCTACATGCGTCTGGATGGATTTCTTATATCTTCAACGGGATCTGGAGAGTAGACCATGCCGTGAAATATTGTATATTAGGTGCACGCATATAACGCGTGTGTTGTTTTGTATGTCAATCCATTGGAGAAGTCCCCCCCTCCCCTTACACGTCAAAGACAATAGTACTTTTACTTTTTACTTAAGTACGTTTTGCTTCCAGTACTTTTTACACTTATTCAAGTCGTTTTATTGTTACTCTCGATTTCAATTTGCTTTTCAAAACTGACTTCCAATGTTTACTTGTAAATTCGAAATGTTCGTTGTAAAGTTCCGAAGTTTGTTTCGAAGTTCGTTCCGATGATTTACGATAATCAAGTTTAGTAAGTTGTATTTGGCTAGTTAAGTGAACCAGCCAATCAAATCGCTTGCTATTGAATCATCGTAAATCATCGTAACAAACTTCGAAACAAACTTCGGAACTTTACAACGAACATTCCGAATTTACAAGTAAACATTGGAAGTCAGTTTTGAAAAGCAAATTGAAATCGAGAGTAATTACTTCTACTTTTATTCGAGTACAAATTCAAAGTAATTTAGGCACCACTGGGTATAGTGGACATACTGCGTTTACTTTTGTAAAGCAAAGATGCCTTTTTCGCCTCAGAAAGAAGACTATTCCACTATACTTAAAGTGGAAGTCAAGTCCGTTCTGCGCATCGGTTCTGCTCATAACAATGTGAGGACCCTCTAATGTGAACATTGCCCAAATTTCGAATGTTACGAATTTTTCTGAACATAAACTCTATTTCATATTCATTTAGAAGCATAGCGAACCAAAATGGTGTTAGATATTCAGACAGTACATCATATTTTAAAAAATACAGCAGTTCAAAATGTAAACAAACCGTTTGACTTCCACTTTAAAACTTCGTTTAAGATAGTTTGTTTTAGGTTTTAGAACTGCTAGATCAGTATCATTACTTCGAAGATTATATTCTCTATTAAGATCTTTAATTTTTATAAATTTTTCTCTAAGACATGGAGCGGACTGCTCATTAAGAATTTTGTACATCAAAACGCTCTTCGCCCAATGACGTCTTACATCATATGCCCACCGACTAATAATCATACACCTATAGCTTTTATAGAATACATTTTTCCGGAAAATGTTAGCGTTAAATATTTCTGCAAAATGTTACATAATGGTAATTACATAATGGGCGGGGAGGGAGGGGGTTTACGTACACTAGTTTTACATAATGGGGGCTTAAGTGTTGTTATTCATACCATTTTTTACTTCAATTTTGCAGAAAATTCCTTAATATTTACCACGTTCTGCAATTCCAGCATTCCAGGGCCCCCTCTCCGCAAGTTGGGCCCCCCATACACCCCAGTAGTTATGTAGGTTAATTGAGGTTAATATTTGAGTTATCAGGGTTGTTAATCGTATCAGAATATCGTAAATGTATGTAGCTTTTTTGTGACATAACACACGCCCTTCGTGGAAATCATAGTTGAAAGGACTAGTGTGTATAATTTTTAAATAAATATAGTTTTACCAAGCTACATACCTACCTCGTAAAGAAAAAACTATTCTAAAACATTTTTCCGCGTTTTACCCTTTTTTCCGCGTTT